TTAAAAACAAGGTTACAATACTTAATATTCCTATCATTAATGAAGAATATCTGGTGATAAAATGAAAACTATCTTGCAATTAATGTCCCAAATAAATTTTTATAGAAAAGAATTGTGAATAAACATGAAACTGGGTTATATTTTTGTAGAATGAAAGAAAAAAAAAAAAAAAATTTCTATAAAAAAATGATACTCCAAATTTATTTTGACCTTCATTTCTAGGTAGCACAAAAAGTATTTTGTGTTGTTAGTCCATTGAAATAAATGATTTGTCATCCTAAGTGTAGAACTTCATTAAAATCTACCAAATGTATTGAAATTCTTTTAGTTGGTTGATAAGTGGAATCGGATTAAATTATTCAGAGTTGAAAAGTTTTCATACTTTTCAAAAATTACTTTGTGATAAATATTAAATGTTTTTTTCCACTTAAAAACTAAGAGATATCAAAATCAAGAAACCAAAATCTTTTTTCTTTTAAACAGCAAGCAATCAAGAAATATGAAAATAAACTTTTTAACCTTTCCTACTCTTGTAAACAACTGGAAATTGTTAAACACAGATGATATTTTTTTCATTTTGGCTGAAAGATTTATTTTTATAAACTTTGTATTCAAATTGCTGCAATTGCTGGAAGACTTTTTTTAAACATATTTTGTCAAGTACTATTTTTTTAATATTTTTAAACAATTTGCTACATTTCAGATATTTATATGTCCATTGCTAATTTTATCAGTGCAAAATAGATTATCAAAATGAAAACTGTTTTTGCTTTAATTTGGATTATTTAGAGCAACAATCCAAATAATGAAGGATGTATACTTTTCTTTCTGTTCTGTGAGAAAATTTTTGTAAAGGTAATTAATATTATTTTAAAAATATTTTTACAAAACTAATAAGAATTTTTTTTTTTTTTAAATTGGATTGCATCCTCAGAGCTTTGATGAACAATAGGATTGGAAGTATCCCAAAGATAATTTCTTTTATATCTTGGTCATGCTCTACATAAGGTAATCATTAGCAATACGATAAATTTTTCTTACAAGATGTGCTGAAAGAGAAAGCGTGAATAGTAAAGTGACTCTTAGATGAAAGCTTGAGCGATACTTAAAACAAAAACATCAAAAGCTGGAAAACAGGATTTTAATATTTATTTTACATCTTCTCAGAATTATCTACATTGAAAAACATTCTGACCAAAATGACAATTACAATAATAATCATTAAAATGAAAGCTCAACTGATGATAAATGTTGAGGTTAAAGAAATAAAAATCAAAGAAACTCATCCGATAGAAAAAAAATGTCATTAGACAAATTTTCTGATTTTATTTTACAGAAAAGATTAATTTTAAAATTTGTTCAGTCATTTCAAAATTTACAATAATTCAATATGTAAATAATCCTTACATTTTGTTATTAATGTGCTGAATATACTTGTGGACTTTTCTTCTGGATTCTTGCTTTCCAGTCAATTTTGATCTTCAAAAGTTTAATGGCAATTTCAATCATTATCTTCTTAATTCCTGTTCTTTTATTGTTCTCTCCCCTTAATAATGTTTTTCTTTTTCTAATATTCTTTCACACCCAATAGCGCCATGCATTTTAGTAGTTTTATTGCCTTGCTTGGGGTGAAATAAAAAGAAAATGAATATACCATGTGAGCAGTTTCTGCAAGTTTTTTTTCTTCCCCTTTTCTTTAAGGTTCTGGTACTATTCACAATTCTACTCTTTACAAAACAAAAATGGCATCATTTACAAATAATATTTAAATTTTGGTTTTCATGGTGCAGCTTGTGAAAAACTATTTTAAAAACTGATGAAAATATATAAATTTTTTAAAAACTGCTGTGTATTGGGACTTAAACTCAACACTATTATATATAATATATATAAATATATATTATATATATAATATTTATAAAGTGTTTATAAAAATTGCTAAAATGCTTTTTGGGACATAAACTCAACCCAGACTCCCAAGAGGATGCTTTCCCAATTACTACCATCTTAACTTGTTCAAGTCTAGAGTCATCCATTATCTTCCTCATATATCCCCATAAACTGTGCCTTTTATTCTGTAACCATGAATGTCTTGTGGAGGGTGAACATCATTGTAAAAAAAAAAAAAAAAGTAAAAAAAAAGTGTGTTATTTTTATGAAGTGAAAAACTAGTTATAAAATTAATGCTTGATTAAACATCATTATAAGCAAGCTTGATATCTTAATGAGGTAAATTAACAAAAGCTGATACCAACAAAATCAAATATATTGACTTTGTAAAATGTGAATTCACTCAGAATATGGGAAAGAGTTTAAAGCCAGATAATCATGAACTAAAGTTGAAAGTTATTCTTCTTTCAGCCTTGTGACTGTCTACAAGAAAGATGACAAAAATGTAGTAATTATACAACTTGCAGATATGATTAAGACCTTTACAAAGGTTTAATCCTGGAAATCTGCTGGTAAGTAGCAATTAAACAAGTAAAACTGCGCCTTTTGAAGCCTAACAATGATAGCTTTCAAATATAACGACAAATGGAATTCATTTATTTTTAAAGTCTTTTTCTGTATTAAAAACAAAACAATATGCATCTGTTCCAGTATACAACAGAAATGCTACTGAACAGATAAAAAAAAAAAAAAAAAACAAACACATGGGCATTAAAGGGAAGGTCAGAGGTCCTAGACAAGCTAGGATTTAAAATTAAAAAAAAAAAAAGACAACAAATTGGCAAAGATTTATATTCAAATTATTTTAAATAGGATTGAAGTGTTTAAACAATAAAATATATTCTAATATTTTATTGTAGGTTGAATATACAAAATAGTCAATGTGTTTTAAAGGCAAATAGAACCTTAATTGATTGTGAAGCTCTTTGTAGGCAAGCGGTCAAAGCATGCTGATCTGATTCTATAAAGGGGGATGCAGGTTTAAATCCTGCTGGAAGGCACATTTTCTTTAAGTTTTTTTGAATGTACAGGCCAGTAGATTAGAACATAGCGTCTACTCAAATATGAGCATCCACTAAAAATAACATTATATATATATATATATATATATATATATGCACTTTGTTTATAATAAACAGCATTAATTACAATTACTGGCCTGAAGATCTGAGAAATTTTGTAGAAAATATGTGTCTTCTGACAAGAATTCAATTTGTATCCTACATGGAATCGTCATTTAGCCTGATGTGCTATACTATTTAGCTATAGAGAAAGCATCTGGTTAGCAAAGTCAAATTACTATTTTTAAACAACAAATTTCCCATTTGACTTTGCTAATCAGAGGCTTCCTCTGCAGCTAAATGGTATAGCCTGTCAAGCTAAATGGTGGTTCCATGTAAGGTACAGGTTTGATTCCTGTCAGAGGACGCATATTTTCTATGAAATTTCTCGGACATTCAGGCTGATATATATATTGAAAATATGTCAATGTAAATTTTTTTTTTAATAAAAAAGTAATAATAGAATTTGTTAAGTAATGAAATAATATTTTTTAATACAATGAGTAAAATTTAAAATTTTTTAATATGAATTTTTTTTTAATTTGAATTAATAAAGGGTTATTTTGTGATATTTTTTCTGTCATCTGGACTAAATTAGTAATTGTATTAGTTAGTTTAGGTTATTTAGTTTTGTTGAAAACATTTAGAGGAAATTTATTTATTAATATTTTAATTTATATTAAAAATGATATTAAAAAGGAAATAAGTAATATTTCAATGAAATAGATATTATTGAAATCATAATTTATTATGTCATTTGTTATACATGAAATGTATTTTTGTTTTTTGATATTAGAATTAATAGATATTACACAATTCTGATTCCCACAAAAACTGTCACTGAATACAAGAATGAAAACAGGAAACAGTTGTTTACATTTAAAGCAGTTTAATAAATGGTGTTTACTGTTCAAGTTTTAATGAGACCAAGCTGACCTCATTACATTTTGTTTACATAACATTATTATGAAGTGCAAAATTTATTTATGTCAAGAAATATGTTATGAAGTTCTAACAGCTATATACCTTTAAAAACAGGAGATTAAAACCATTACAAATTTTAGACATTATTCTTAATAGTTTTGGCAGAAATCTATTAGCTTAACCAATGTTATTAAAATGATGAACAAAAGCCTGATTATTAGTTTCACCAGGCTGAATTGAATTTGCCTGAACTTGCCTCAAGAATATTTGTTCATATATAATTGTTTTGATTATGAATGGTAAATTTATTCAAGTTAACATTTAAGTTAGGAAGTTGGAACATAGCTATATTAATTGAAAAATAGTGAATTAAAATGGCTTGTTTTTTTGGATTTTTTTTAATTAATAGTTTGGACTGAAATTTGTCAGCCATGAATTATTCTCAGTTAAAAATGAACACTGTTGAGACATAGCTTGTTGGTTTAAAAAAAAAAAAATGACAGTTAAATTCCTTTGGATCAGCCCAAGTTGTATTAATGACACATAATATATCCTTATTTCCTGAATGAGAGAGAAGCTTATGTCTTTATCCAGGTTTTGAAAAATTGCTATTCTTTTTGGAAATGAACTGTTGGGAGAACAATTTCTAGTGCAGATGATATAAATCTTACAAATACTTGGAATCAGTCTTGTCTATGTGATTCAAGATCAGTGCTAATTATTTGAAGTATATTTATTTTATTGGGTCAACTAGTTTTTTTGGTCTGAATTGTCACAACAGACTTTTGTTTTTATTATTGTTGTTATTCATTATTTTTACTATTTAAAAGAGAGTACTTGTAGACTGACTTGAACCATCTAATTTTAGCAGGTTTGCTGAATAGCTGTTTTGTAGATATATAAATCTATTGAAAGAAACAGGTTTTATAGAAGTTATCTTTGTATGAAAAATGATAAGTGATTTTCATTTTCCAAATGTCATATGTGATATTTGATTTGATTTTTTGATCAAGATTGATGTTTATTCACTAAAAATGAAGAGACTCATGTTAAAAGAATTCTTACCGTGTATATTCATCCTCCAACAATACAGGATCAGGTGTATAAAATTTGACACAGAATCTAAACACAGTATCTGTGTTAGGAATTTGTTTCAGAATTGGCTTCTCACGGTCAAGCCAGCACTAGAAAAAGAAAAAGAACATACAAGAAAAAATTACATTTATTTTTAAAGTGAAATAAAAAATAAAAAAATAAATAATTAAGTAAAAATAACAAGTGAAAATACTTTAAGGCGATTTCTTCAATTTCTTAAAAAAAAGTGCTAACTTTCTCAGAAAACAGTTCTGTAAGAAAAACACTAAAATTTTCTAGTGAAAAAGTTAAACAGTAGATGTGTAATATTGCACAAATGGATTTTCTTGTCAGAGATTTTTTAATCAAAACAAAAATAGAACAAAAATGATATTATTCTATTCAATGAACAAGCATTTTCTAAAATATATATATAATGAATTCAAAGATCAAAAATGAACCTGGTATTATAAATTAAGCATTTAATGAATAAATAATATCTTAGGCTAGAAAAATATGAGATTCAGTGGTGGCAATTTATTTGTTGCACTCACACACAAAGCCTTTTTGGTACAGATCTGACATAAAACACTGACAAAGGATGACTGGAAAAACTAATAAAAACTGTCACAGATAATGAACCATCTGACATTCCTGTGTAGATGGAGAGCAGAAGTTAAATCCAACCAGCTTAACTATCCAAACATCAATCCATTCCATAAGGGAATGAACAGTTGCAGAAAGAGCAGGACATATCCTAGTTAGAAAAAGAACCTGTCACAACTGCTGGATGAGACATCAATGACAAAATGAACTATCTAACCAGATGGAATTGTTCAGAGACCAAATAAGATCAAGAGTGGATAGAAATAGAATTCAACATGACCTGAACAAGTTAAAAAAGCAGGAATTTAAAAGGGTCAAAGAAACTACAGCAATGAGTTACAACAATGCTCACCATCAGATTTTGAACATAATCATCAGCATCAACAAATGACAGTTGAGTACCTTTGAGGAAGTGCGCTGAACAAAGGTCTCAAATTTTCTACCTCCATCAAGTGGGCTTCATAGCCTCAATTGAGGAAGCAACTTTGAAGATCCCTAAATCTAAGGCTAAGTAGTTGAGATGGAAAGTGAGGCAGGCACTGGAGAAAACGAAGCCTCCCAAACCAAACATCACAAGAGAGGAAAAAAAACCTGAAGAGTGATGCTGAGATTATCATACTGCCAACAAAAAAATGCAATGTAAAGAACATTGTCCACTTTGCAAAGACTCAATGATTGTTCTCAAAAATTGCATGTTGGTGCATTACCATTGGCAACAGTGGTTAAGTTAACATTGTTAAACAGGTACACCATATTCTAGACAATCATATAGTACAGATAATTGCCAAGATCAGTGCATTTTAAGGGCAATATCCAGAGCATAAAGAGATCAGACATGGTCCCTGGAATGCAAACATGATTGTTGGAAATCATTTCCTTGCAGCAGGACTATGTGAAGCACACATGCCTCTAGCTAGACTTCCACTGACACCACAACACAGTTGTACATTTCTCCATGGTGAAAAAAATGGGTCACCAATGGGACTGAGTGGTGCTCTGTAAGTTCAGTGGTGAGAGCACATGATGGTCATTTGTGTGTGCAATGAAGAATTGGGAAGTTGTAAATTCAAGAGTATACTTGCTCATGGCACATAAGGTCAATCCTTGGAATCATGGTGAAACTCACTTAACTTTGATTTTTGGAGAGGGAATGTTGAGCAGTGCCATCTACAATAAGAATACTGTTCAACCTATATAGTTGCCATTCCTGCAACAGGAAGGAGATGTGTGCTGTTCCCATCTACATAATAACCATGCTACTCAACATGGTCTGTAAGATGTTTGACAATTCTGATAAATAGAATCTCCAAACTTTTTCTCTTCCATTGAAAGTGAATGACATATGATGGAATAATGCCTGACTCATTCAGTTAGCTCACCTATAACTTCTGCTGGATTACATCAACACTTTCAAGGAATGTGGAATATTGTATTAAAGGATGATAGTGATCATCTATACGAATATATATGCATGTGAGAATACAGGTCTTTGTTAAAACCTGAGGAGGATATAAATATATTATTAATATGTCATCTGAGTACTGCTGACACACCTAATTTTGAGGAAAATGAAACATGCATTAAGAGGGTTTCATTTTCTGTTATTGTATTATTATTATATTCAAAAATATGAGAAGAACTTAATTAAAATTAATTTCATTAACTTTCAAACATAGTAATTCAAGTTTTATTATTTCAACTTCACTTTAATCATTCATAATTAAAAGAAATTAAGTAAGTGTTAAATTTCCAAAAGAGGCAAGAAAAATGTGTAAAATTGTGTCATTAAGCAGAAGTTTTAAAGATTTTAGGGTTGGATAGAATAAGAAATAAAAAAATATATATTACTGCATTGAAAGTAAAAATAAAAATAAAATAAATTGTTGTCTAAAGCTACTTTAGTTGAACAAAGTTTTAAAGTTAATATAAAACATTGTCAAAATTTTTTCTTGAATTTTGCATTTAAAACAGAGGAAAAAATTGTGTTAAACCTCAATTAACAAACAGCTGAGTAAAATATAAATGAATAAAGTAAAAGGTTTAGTGTTACAGGCTCAGCTATAGTTTATCGTTTAATCACATATTAATGTATTTTTCTCAGTAGAAACAAACATTTATGAATGGTGTTTCTGAATTTTCTACATGACTACAAAGTTTAGTTTGTAAATATATATTATACACAATGTGAACTTCTTAAATCTTTGAGATCATTTGCAACCTAATGCACAATCATTAGTAAACAAAAACAAAAAGGAAAATTTTTATCCATGTATTATCTACATTGGTGTTTATATTTTATGAAATCAATAATGCTTTAAATTTGTTGAAAAATTAAAAATGTTTAATTGTATTTATGGCCCTAATTTACAGAGACATTAACCAATATCTGAAGCATAAGAGATTTGTTCTATCAAGAATAATCATAGCAGTGTGAAAAATCTTCTCTTTTTAATCTTTACTATATCTGGTTAGGATCAAAGTGCAGAAGTTATCATGTAAATAAAATATATACATTTTTGTTTGTATAACAAATATACCTTAAGAAGCTATGACAACAGAAATATTTTATCTATATGAACCTAGATTTCAACACAGACAAAAAGAAGTAGATACAATACATGGGGAGCTCTGAAAATAATGCCACTTATTTATTTCCATGGAGGCTACAACAAATACAGGGAACACAATACCCACTGTTGGATAGAGTATCTTTTCTACCATTGGTTATTCATTTTCAAGATGCACTTCACTTTCTCTGCTGACAGCTATGCAGTACTGCCCAGAACATTGATAGTTGCATGTACCATTGTCAACACCAATGCCTAACTATGCTTACATCCACCATTTGATTTCCCAAATTAAGTAATTCAATAATACACTTCTACTTTGTACACACTTCCCTGCCAGATGGCTATCTGTAACAAAGCAAATAAAAAAAAAAAAAAAAAAAAAGAAAAGACAGTTTTTAGTAGTAAGGATCAACCTCTACTGTCATACTACTGACACTTGTCTCTGACGTCATGTGTCAATGTAATAAAATAGGAGAGATTACTTTTGGAGTGACCTTTGCATATTTAGATAATTTTATAATGCAATTGTTTATCAAAAATGTCTTTCTGTAGCTGACTTGTATGGCAAAGATTGGAACTGGTCTTTAATGTAAGTTGGCATTACAATTAAGCATAGAAATTTACATGAGCGTAATATATAGTTTGGCTTTTAGGTCAATTGCTTGTGCCTGGTAAACTATTATAAAATATGAAGTACTTAGTATTTATATTTAATTTATTTAAATATAGCATCAAGTACATTTGTTTATCATGAAATAGTTTCAAAGAATTAATGACTCACCGTAGAAGCACTGTTTTGGAATCATTGTGTGTGTATACAATTGTGAATATTAAGTGGAGAAAAACCATTTAAAAAAGGTTTTGGAAACCACCCTAAATATTTTAAGCTCATTCAAGATACAAACTGTAAAGACATGCTATTAAAACATTACAGCAGATTATGATGAAATGGAAGAACAAAATAGGATTTTTTTTGGCAACTGATACATAACTATATTAAGTCAGACAACATAGGAACATGTAGATATCTTTGAAAAAAATAATGCAAAACTGAATCAAGCATCTCCAGATTGATGAAACTTTGAAGACCCAACATTTTAAAAACTTAAAATAAATTTCATATTAATATCTCACTTCAATTTTTTTTTTTAAATTGGCATCATAAGGCAGTTTGGCCACTAAAAACAAGTGTACAAACTTAAACATTTCAACATAATGCCTCAAAATTAATAGTAAAGATACTGGCTAGTGGAGATATATTTATAAATTTTAGTTGAGCAGCTTAAGTCAAAGAAAATACTTTGAAAGATAATATTTTGTTTTTATAACTTTGATTAAAAATAAAATAACGTTTGTAGAGACTGTCAGAAATGCGAGTTGGAAATGATAGAATGATTTGGAATTGATTATTGTTGACTTTTCATTGCATCAAAAGATTAATGTCAACATTTTAATAATTAAAAAGTTCTTTTAAATTTATTTTTGATTTGACAAAATTCTTTGTTCATTAGCAAAAAGATATTTGAATAATCCTTGTATCAAGATTTTCTTTTAGTCTTTTTTTTTTGTGAAAAATCCAAGAAGAGATTTAAAAACATATTTGATTTTGAGAAGGGTTCAGACAGAGAACTTTTCAGCATTTCCTCATAAAAACATGCAGAGAAGAGGGGAAAAGGCATTTTCCTATATAATACATTTTAAAATACCATATATTCAGAGCTATTTTTTTCAACTTTGTCAATACAAAGTTGTTAGTGTTTTAGTGTCTCTTTAAAGAACAAGACATTTAATTCAACAGTTGGTGTACAATTTACTAAAGCTGATCAGTGAATATGTCAGATTAGAGGATTTTTTTCTTCTTTTTAATCTCGTGGAAGTTAAAATTATTTTACTGAGAGAAACTGAAAAGATAAAAAGATTGAATAAACAAAATT